ACCAGTAAAGGCGCTTTAATGGAAACAATACAATTGATTAGAGTAAGGACAAAATTTGTTAACATCATAAGCACAAAATACATAGATACTAGGTTTAATAAAAAATGGTGTTTTAAAAAAAGAACAGATGGACCAAAGCTGGCATTTATAATAGCCTGGGTTGATGTCAACACCAATTTAAGAACAAAACAGATTATTTCTATTAAAATAAAAACATTAGTATGGATGATTATTGCACATTTACGAACAGGCATTTCACCTAAAAGGACAAGAACAGAAAACATTGAAGCAGCAGCATGTAGACAATGGTTACCCGCCCCTCCCCACACTCTAAAATCAGCATAAAAAAAAGAATAATATCTGGGGGGAAAAAATAAAATCTAACTAGCCTAAGCCCAGCAGCCCGACTGATAAGAGCAATGCTTAAGCAGGCACCTTCATCAGATGCAACAATAGATATTACAAATTTGCACTATGCCTGCATAGACTAAAATGATCAGCAACTATTACAGGGGCTGTCTGGATTAAGCGCGGAAAGTAGCAATACAGGATTTAGGAGATTACTGCTTTATAATAATATAATTCAAATTCAATCTGAAAAAACAACCCTTTCCGTGAGGGAATACTTCCTTGTTAATGAGGCCCCATGGCTCTCAAAGTCAGTCATGTGGATGCATTTAGGAAATAGGGTTTTGGATTTCCTTAAACAATGTGTCATAACGGAACAGGTTTGGGAAAAAAATAAGTCATAAAACCAGAACCAAAACACCTCTGTACAGATGAGGTAATAGGAGATCACTTTCCTCTGCTTCATGTTCGTTATGATTATACAATTACGAGTGTGCGCACAGGCTGCATTGATACCACTGCCTGCAAATGATCATAAACCATTACATGCACAAAGAACGTTTAGCTGTCTGGTTTAGGATGATCACCTAATGTTCGTCAAAACATTTAATTAAAAGAGCTAAACAATTGTCATTACAAACTATAGAAGAGGATCTTAGACATTTCAATCTTAGGCAACGTGGGCTGTGGCACAAAAACCCGGGCTAAATGGGACATCCAAGAATATAGCACTATGGCATAAAGAAAAGGTAATAAAATACCTTAAAATATGAGCAAAAGTGGAATCTTTATGTTATAACTAGCTCTCCGATATTTTAGAACAATAAAAATAACTCAGTGTGGAAAATTATTATTTGATCCCCTGCAGAATTTGTAAGTTTGCCCACTTACAAGGAAATGAAAAGGTCTATAATTTTGATCATAGGTGCATTTTAAATGATAGACAGAATATCAACCAAAGATCCAGAAAAAACATATGATACAAATGTTATAAATTGAGTTGCAGTTCAGTGAGTAAAATAAGAAACCCTTGTTGGCAAGCACAGGGGTAAGCCGTTTCTTGTAGTTGGTTTGCACACATCTCAGGGGAGATTTTGGTCCACTCTTCTTTACAGGTCTTCTCTAAATCCTTAAGGTTACTTGGCTGTCGCTTGGCAACTCGAAGTATCAGCTATCTCAATAAATGTTCTATAGGATTAAGGTCTGGAGACTGGCTAGGCCACTCCATGACCTTGATGTGCTTCTTCTTGAGCCACTGCTTTGTTGCCTTGGCAGTATGTTTTGGGTCATTGCCATGCTGAAAGACCCATCCACGACCCATCTTCAGTGTTCTAGCTGAGGGAGGTTCTCATCCAAGATTTTACAATACATGGCCCCTAAAAGGTGGCAAAGTCAGCCTGTACCTTTAGCAGAGAAACAGCCCCAAAGCATAATGTTTCCACCTCCCTGCTTGACTGTAGGGATGGTTTTCTTAGGGTCATAGTCAGCATTTTTTTTCCTCCAAACACAGCGAGTCGAGGTAATGCCAAAGAGCTCAATTTTGGTCTCGTCTGACAGCAGCACTTTATCCCAATCCTTCTCTGAATCATTTAGATGTTCATTGGCAAACTTCAGATGGGTTTTTACATGTGCCTTCTTGAGGAGGGGGACCTTGCGGGCGCTGCAGGATCTCAATCCATGGCTGTGTATTGGGTTACCAATGGTTTGTTTGCTGACTGTTGTCCCAACTGCCTTGAGATCATTCACAAGCTCCTCCCATGTAGTTCTGCGCTGATCCCTCACTTTTCTCATGATCATCTTTACCCCATGAGGCGAAATTTAATTGGATAATTGCTTCAACAGTTGTTTCCTTCTCACCAAGCTTCTTGCTGATAGTCTTGTAGCCAATTCCAGCCTTGTGCAGGTCCACAATCTTGTCCCCAACGTCATTTGACAGCTCTTTGGTCTTGTCCATGGTGGTGAGGTTTGAATGGAAGAAGAGATTCTGTGGACAGATGTCTTTTATATACATAACGAGTTGTCGCTAGGAGCACCTTCTTAAATTGACAGGACTATCTGTGTACCACATAGCCAGTCTGTGGGAGCCAGAATTATTGTTGGTTGGTAGGGTTGATAAAATACGTATTCTACTCACTGAACTGCAGCTCCATTTAGAACATTTGTATCATATGTTTTTTTCTGGTATTTTGGTTGATATTCTGTCTCTATCATTTAAAATACACCTATGATAAAAATTATGGACCTTTCATTTCTTTGTAAGTGGGCAAACTTACAAAACCTGCAGGGGATTCAGCCATGTTGCCTGCTGCAAAACATCTAAAAAAGGTAAGAAATATTTTTCTTAAATCATTATTCAGTATGCTGTGTGAATGGGAACACAGAACTTGCATATAGTGGGGTTTTCTCAAATTTGACTGCAAATGTGGAAATACATTTTAACATGATACAGGAAACACTGCAAACTGCCAAACTTAAAAAAATCTGCTCACTTTATCTTAATCCAAGTCCAGAAAATTCAGTGCAGCCAGATCCATTAGGCTTCACACAAGGAGTGTGTGAGTTACCATGCTGTCTTGGTTTATAAAGCCTCATTCTAAGCCATTCAAAAGATGGGGCACTCAAATGTATAAGGAGAACATAAGGAAGGCACATGCAGTCTCTTGCATTAGCTTAAAATTAAATGCTTCAATCTTTTACAGACAAAAAGCCAGATTTATCTCAAATAATGCTGAACTACCTCTGGCATATTACAAAACTGGGACTTTTGCCAGTTTATGCAAGTTCAACAAATTATTTTACATTACTTTTAACGGCAACCCTTAAAAGGGGAAAATAGTGTCCTTATTTCATGGCAAAAAATGCTTATTTCCTCAACTTTCTATGCAACTGTAGTTACCCATCAATCACTACTTGACCACTTTCCATTACCTACATAATGGGATGCAATTTATTTGCAGAGGAGGGGCCTATACACGGTTAATAAAAATGAATACCTCTCGGTTGGAAAAAATAATAATTGCTACTAATGCCATACTGTAATTCCACATTATTCATTTTTCAATTTTAATTTGCAGGGAGCCATTATTTAAAAAAAACAAAACATGGAAAAACATTAAATGCCTTATTACTTGGAAGGGATGACCAACAGCTTTTGTTTTAACAAGGCAGTGCGGTACTTAACAGTAGTTAGTGGTGGGATCTTTAAATTTTGTCCCTTGCCACAACCAGATCGTACCCTGCAAAGCCATATTGCTCATTTTTAACTGACAAGTGCTAACAAGCCAGTCAAGTTGGAGGAAAAAATGGCTCTACATTTTTGGCAATAGAAAATAGCTGTATGCAAGATGAAGGTCTGGCTCTGTGCTTCTGGCTGTTTGCCTAGCACCGTTGCATCAACAATGACTCATGGTGTTTGGACAGCTATATGTATGGCTTTATTTGTGCTATAAACCAGTGGCTCTAGATGCAGAAGACCACTTTGTCACAAAGGCTTGTTTTCCATTGTATTAGCCACTAACCTTAAAGCACTAAACCCTATGTACTTGGATTCGATGACAAATGCATTCTTTAGGACTTTTATGCTGCACTTATTTACCAGAACAAAAAATGTTAATAGGTCTACTTTAATATGGAAAACTTGGTCAGAGGTATATGGCTAAGCAGAGCTCTTAGGTAATTTATTGTAGAACTATGGCCTCTCATTTAAAATATCTATCTAGATATATATACACACATATCCTGCAGCACTTTATTATAAGTCTATCTGCATTTACAGTTCTCTCTTAGCCCCCCTGCAAAGTCCCACAAATACTTGTTGATCCAGTCAGTGAAGACCAACTAATGGAGATTCCTGTGATGGTGTGGCATTGATACTCAATTGCTCCTGAATTCAAAGTGGGATTGCCACTATCATGAAGGCTGTAGGGGGCATAGCAGCATCATTACGGTTGGTTCAAAAGCCTGTAGCTTCTCAATCAGCACCTGGCCACTCCCAGCCCCCCCACTACTTTCTAGATTGAAAGCACTGTCTCTGTTCCTAAAAACCGTCCCACTGGAGTGTCTTGGGCAGGGAGCATCTGAGACACAAACATTTGGCTCAGTCAGGGAAGATAAAGCAAGTTTTTTCTGTTCACTTTATTAGTCTTGTGCATCACACTGAATTTAGTGCTTATTTAGACTGTCATACAGGAGCCTTTAGTTGTACTTTAAGGCAAGACCATTTAGAAAAAAGTTACAAAACAAAAAGAATAATGTTACCCCTTTGTTTTCATTTGTATGTTTTGCAGCATTAAGAAGAAAAAAAACATGACTCTCAATTTATAAGTTTTGTTTACAAGTTGTATGAAAAGAGGAAATATTCTCGGAACCTTTAAAACAAAAATGGTTAAACAAAATGTGAACCGATCATACATAATACAATTATTATAATACAGCAACATGTTATTGATAACTGCTTGGATATACAAGACTATGTGTGCTTTGTAAAGTTAATGTTAGAAGCATCATGCATTATATATTTAGTGTGCATGTATAGGTTGTTTAGATTAAAGAAATGCCAACATGAGTCCACTCAATTGTAGGCGTTACAAAATGTATGTGTAATTTGTGGCTATTGTATGCAATGCAGAATAGAAAAACAAAAAAGCACATACTCTATTTGCGCTCCGCTGGATACAAGGGCCTTAAGGCAGTCCATACTACCAGCCCTTGCTGCTTTGTGTACAGGAGTCTCACCTACATAGTCCTGGAAAACAAATCAAAGGAGGTCAAAAGCAAGGATGTGGATATACTGAACTATAAAAATGGCAAGAACATAAAAAGGTGCAATAATAACCATCAGAAAAAAAAAACCTCAATCTGAACTATTACATCATATTTAGTTTGAGGGTTTTGGTGGAGGATGTATACAAATTTTATATTTATATAGTACCTCCCCTGCTTAGAATTTTAAATGTTGCTCTATACAGATCATATACTGGTCTCCTAACTTTACTGCTCGCTCCTGTTTCAATCTTCTAAGTCAATGAGGTTGATGCAGCACAGAAACAAAACAGGAGGTGAAGATCACCAGATGAACTTCATGACTTACAATCTAAACAGCAGGGTGGACAGTTTAAAGAGGTTGGTCATTATGAATTAAAATCCGATAGCCGATTATGTTCATTGCTTGTGAGGACAGTGGAATGGCAAAGCTTTTTCTAAAAGAGAAAGCCCACAAGGAAATAAAAATTAAGATGTTGGCTTGTAAAAAACAGGCACTAGATTTTACTCCTCTACAGAATAGAAGCTTTAAAGCCTCCACCAAATGGTTTGAAAATCTGTTCTGCAAGTAAGACAAATTCAGGTATCCATACTAGTTACAGAATATTTTGTTTTTAATGCAAAACTGCACTCATTGTTTTTATTAAGTATGTTCATGAACTGTATTTCTCATAAATCTAACAATCCAGCTTTCCACGTCATTTTAGAGCTTAGCTGGATGATCTACTTCAGTATCCTGCTTTGCATAGCTAAACACTGGCTGTGCTTCACTGTTCTCACAATAAAAGTCTATGAGGTGGAGTCAAAATACAAAGTTGCCTCTACTAGTTCATTTACAAATCTGTATATGTAAAAACAGCACAAAATATGCAAGAGTAGATATTTAAAAATGCTGCGTCACATCAAAAATCACAAAGTAAAACACAACAGTAACTTAAAAAAACAGTGATCGTTAGAAATACTTCTCATTGAAGGTTAGTGTTTGGCCAGAAAATCAGCAATTGTAGAGAACAGCTGCTAGTACGGAGACAGAAACAATCTAGTGTTGTAGCTTCATGTGCTCAGTTCCAGCCTTCCCGTCCTCATGTCCCATCAATGTGGGAGGAGTGCAGAGATGGTTAGCAGTGCAGGCTGGAGCACACAGCCTAAACTGACAGCATCAGATTGTTTCCATCGCTCAGTACGGGCAGCCCCTCGCTACACTTCCTGAGGATCTAGTGCAGTGGTGGCGAACCTTGGCACTCCAGTTGTTTTGGAACTACAAGTCCCATGAGGCATTGAAAGGCTCTGACAGCCACATACATAACTCCCCGAGGCAGATGCATGTTGGGATTTGTAGTTTTGGCACAGCTGGAGTGCCAAGGTTCGCCACCACTGATCTAGTGCATAAATACTAGCCACGAAGGCCATGGATCACAATATCACTGATTGTCACCATCGTAGAAGGCAGACTTGATTCTCAAACCAAAATAAAACAGTGGAAGGCATGAAGTATAAATAATTGCATGACATTTTAAAGAGAAAAGCCATCAATATAGGAGCACGTAGTGCGTTATGAGCAGGAAACCAAGGATGTCAAGGAATAAAGCAGCAGATCAGAGCCACTCAAGCTATAAAATGCCAGGGAAATGTTTCCGAGAAATATTGTTGGGTGGAGTGGGAAAATCTAAGAACCACTTGAGATGTTTTTTTTTTTAATTCCTCTCTGTTCCTACTGCAGAGATTGACTTGGCCACAGAGACCGGAAATAAGGAGAAATCTTAACTGCAAAAAAAAAAATATATATTTTGTTTTCAGATCTGAGGAACTGATCATTGGCCTTGCATTGGTGTTTTTGAATCAGAGAGAAAGTACATTAACTGAAGTGGGGTCTAGCTCAAATGGGGATCACCTTCCCTGAGAAATAAATGGTAGTCCAGGCAGCAAAATTCTTTAAATTCTGACTTTACAGTCAATTTTATTAATGGGCTGCAAGATCAAAAATAAATGTCAAATGGCTTTCTGAGACCCAGGCCAGAGCAACCATATTGCGCCAGTCCTCCCCTTTTATGTCACCTGGAGAACTAATCGCAGGCGAGACAAAACTTGACCCAAATTACACAGACCAGGTCTGAACTGCAGCTTGGTTTCCACATATGGAAGACAGAGGGTAAACATTTCTCCCCTTGATGATTTCCCCTTTCATTATGTCACATTGGGTATAGGCTGTGGTGGTTAAAAACTGGAAACATCTCTTGGCAAACATAAGAAGACTGTCTGTAATTCCACTTTCCAACAACTACACAAAACAATTAGTTTTGAATAGATAAATATGTAAAAAATTCCCAAACAGATCGTGAAAGTGCTTAGTGTGTAAATTCTTCCAAAAGTGCTCCACACCACATGCTTCTGCAGTCCCCTTTTCTGGGCTTTCACTAAACTCAAACAAGGTGGAACACTAATACAAAAAGGTCCATTTTAAATGAATTGATCATTTTATTGATGTAGATATTTTTACATGAATTATTTGTAGTATTAGGGGATTATAGGGTGTTTGTAAGTTATTCCTTTTAATTTTTAGGAGGTGGAATTCGCTATAGCACAGCAGCTTTGATAGGATTTTTCTGTTAGAGAGGAACACAGATCTTTATTAAAAGGAGAACTATGGGGTCAGTGTTTTTCCCCATAGTTCTCCTTTAAGTTCTTTATTGGTTTTGAGTGGAGCTAGAATTTAAAACGTTGCCCCATGTTCATGGACCTTATACGCAAGCAACAATAGCACGTATTATTATTACGGTTTTCAAAGCATACATTTTCATACCTGAAGTAGATTTCCAAATCTGTAATTGTAATAAATAGGCAAACTTTACGTTCTAAAAACTGCATATTGTTTTACCTGTTTATTTACATTAGCACCTGCTTGAATAAGCCACATCAGGCAGTGAGGATGTCCTCCGAAAGCAGCAATGTGTGCTGGTGTTTGAGCAAACTGAGTTGTGCTGGCATTAACAGAGCAACCTGCCCCAACCAGCTGGACCAGACACTCCAACTGTGAAAACGAGGGACATTGTTAATTCAAATACAGACCTGGCTTTACCAAGATCCATGATCACTAAGACCCCTTCCACATGCGCTGATCTGGAGAGAATCCGTGCACAGATCATCTCCTAATAACAGCGGTACGGATCGGATGCCAACGCTGTCGCATCCATGTTTGTACAATTTTTTTTCCATCTTGTGATGGAGGAAAAAAAAAATTAAAACTGCTGGACCCCATGTCTGTCTATGAGGAATCTGATGTAAACAGACACGTGTCCATTGACATCAGATTACCCCCGATTCGGCCATCTGAAACAGAACACTGTTCCGTCTGTTTTGCTGGACAAAGCCGGAGGTAACCTGGTGTAAAACGGACACTGCCCGTAGACTTGCATTGGGCAAATGGGGTCCGTCTAAAAAACTGACAGGCAGGCCCAATCGGGCCCCCCATGTGAAAGAAGCCCATGTGTGTATTATAAACCCATACTTAAACTGACTACAACTATCAACAAAGCAACATTAGCTCTCCCTTTTAGATTGTAAGCTCTCAAGAGCAGGGCCCTCCTAACCTCGTCTTGAATTGTCTCTTTATATTGTAAAATGCGGCGCAAACTGCTGGCAGCAGCAGCAATATTTGCTGTACACATTGCCCTTCAGACCAGCTAACAACCTAAGACAAGTAGAATTTCAATTTAGAAAAGAAAAAGTTTGTTTCTAATACTTAATGGGTAATCACTTTCAATGGTAATTACAAAAAAAAAAAAAAATACAATTGGAAAATGTTCCCTTAAACAAAAAAAATTCCAATGTGGTTTTTCATACGAGTCTCTGTGCTCATTTCCGAAATTGATTGTTCTATTCTATGGCTTAAAACAGAAAGGTCTTTTAAACCTTGTAGTGAGGCTACCCCTGCACAGCAAGGGTTAAGTGCTCATTTGTGTGGGGGGGGGGGGGGGGGAAATAAAGGTACTCAGCTGAACCCCACTACCCCTCCACTGCAGTGGTCTAAGGATCCTCTAGTTATCACAATTATAGACAGTGTATGGGATATGAGGACACTAAGGGACATACCATTGCTGTAGCGGAGGAGGAGACAGGCAGGAGGGAGCAGAGTAGAGTAGATGCCAGCTGACTAATGATGAGGCGAGTATAACTTTTTTACACCTAGACACAAACGAGCAGTTAATCCCTGCAGTCTGGGGGTAACCCCTTTGTAAGGGTCAAGAACATTTCTGCTCGGATTTCTGCTATAAGTGAGCCTCAACAAGCAATGCATTTTAGCCATCAGAACAAGAACTGACAACATTTGAATATCAGTTCCTGTTCACTACGATGTAGTGCAAGGACATTGCTCACTGGATACAAAACATGACTGGATAGATTAGATATAGTTTTAGAAGATCTAAAATGTATTGTACGAATGATGGTCAGATTATAATGTGTATGGTGACCCATAAACCGGCCATACAATCTGATCGTACAATTTCCTCTAAAGTGGCACTAAACTCAGGAGTTATATCTTAAAAATGCATTCAAGTATCTTATTTGTGTATCACTCAGCTGTAGATCCTCAAATCATCTTTGAATTGGTGCTGACACTGTCCTTCCTTCTGGAGGGTGGCTACTTTTTGTTCCCCATGTGTGTTGTAATGTAGACACCGCTCCAAGCTCCCTCTTGTGATGGACTACAACTTCAATACAAATGGGTAAACTAAAAGTGAGATTATAATCCATCACAGGAGTGAGCTTGGAGTGGTGGCTACTTTCCAACACACAGAAACATGGGAAACAGAAGTAGCCACCCTCCAGGAGGACAGTGTCAGAACAAATTCAGAGATGATTTGAGGATCAACAGCCAATACACAAATAAGATAGTTTTGTTATTAGTTAAGGCACTTAAATGTATTTTAAGATTTAACATCTGAGTTTAGTGTCAATTAAATCTCACCATACACTGTACAATCTGATCACATGATTTCCATTAGCTCTAAAAGCTATTTAATGCTAGGGCCTTCCTGATGGGATGCAGATTGAGTAGAGAGATGCTCATATTACATTGCTTTTGTAAATGAAAAGTTGATGGTACATGGAGTGCCCAGTCAGATTGTGACGTGCATTGTGTCCCTTAGATCTGAGGCGTTTTCCCCATAGTTCTGAAGGGTCACGGAAGGACATAAACTAGAGTCCTCCCGTGACCCAAAGCTCAGTATATCGTGAGCTGCAGCTCGCGGTATACTGAGACGCCGCAGCGGATCCCGACATCGACATCCACCCAGCTGCGTCCCCAAAGCTCAGTATATCGTGAGACCGCAGCAGCCAAGACAGATCCCGACATTACTGTAGGGATCCATCAAGCTGCGTGAGTGGCAGCTGGCTCTGCCTATCTAGAGGCAGAGCCAGCTTTACCCGCCCGTTCCACCAGTCAGCGCTGGAGGATCAGACAGGGGAGGAATCCCTGCAGGGAGCCATGAGTGACAGTCACAGCTCTCTGCAGTGACATGATCGAGAAGTGAGCGAGGGCCGGTATGTGTTTGCTCACTTCCCGATCTATTGAGCCGACCTGTGACAGTTTCATTGTCGCACGCAGGCTCGAACTATGAGGTTGAGTGAAAATCACTCACCTCATAGTTCTCCTTTAACTTTGAATGCTTTAGGCCCGGCGCAAATCTGAGATCACACGGTCCTGCACGATTGCAGACAATGGGGTGACATGCACACTGCAATCGCAGGAAGATACATGACATGCGGCTGTTTTAGTGTGATCGTGTGTGCGGATGCATAGAAACCGCACGATCTGCCTGGCACGACTGGGGTGCCATTATTAAATAATGGAACCAACAATGCGATCCTCTGTGATGGGCGACTCCGTGCAGTCACAGAACGCCTAGGTGTGCACCGACCCTTAGGCTTGTCCTAACAATCTGAGCGTATAGGCGTGGTGCACAATATTTGAAATATTTACCAACATAAAATGGCAAAA